AGAATATCCTGTTGTTGATCTGACGCGAGGTTCATAGCATTACTACAGTTATTAATAAACGGCATTAATTTTTCTCGGTTGCCGTCAAACTTACTTATAAATTTACAAAGAATATTAAGATCGATGATTGGTGTCGAAATAACCGATGTAGGTTCGTCTTTAGGCATTGTGACGGACGAGGATTAGTCAAAACAAAGATAAGGTACTCGGCGTTTCGCGTGGGCGCAGTAGCCATAAGGCGTTGCACTGGTCTCGAATACAAGCAATAGCACACAATTAAGATATAATGTTTAAAAGACACTTGATATACAATGAATTATATTAAAATGAATGAATGAAATTATAATTGAAATATGAATAAATTATTTAGATTTAACTGTTGAATAAATTAATTTATATATTTTGCGAAGGTTATAAAGTATTCAGTATTATTCACAATATTTAAAACTGTATCGTTATAATATTCATATAAAGCTGGAGCGGACTCACAGGAACATGTCGGGTTTATGTACTTGTATTTTGATCGGAACGAACACAGCGACAGCGTGCACTGTTGACTTTGTAGCCTCGGTTTGCAGATGATAAGCAGATGCTGGGTGGTATTCTTCTTGTACTCTCTTTTCTTTTCTTCGGTTGTATGACTTCTAGCATCAATTTTCAAGCAGCCAGGCTGGTGTCGTTCTCAGAAGTTCAGCGAAGAAACTAGTTTTAAGCGATAAGTATTTATAGAGATCACAACACAAAATGTTCCAGTTATTGCACAATTGAGTCCTCAGAGGCACCAAGGACCTTTTATAGATCCCTTCACCGTTGCCACCAATGTTATACGGGGCTTCACGAAATGTCTTTTAAAAAAAACTATTTAGAAATTGCACTGGATTTAATTATAGAAAGACACAAAATAAGAATTGAATTTTGAGAGGCGAGTGTTGCGGATGAGAGTGTATGACGGACTGACTGGTATTGCTAGTATTGTCATAAGAAAGTACTGAAGCTACTAAGAGAGTGCTGACTGTGTGCTTTGTGTCAGCGGATCCCTAGTAAAAGGGGATCTATAACAGTTCGGTTGTGTGGTTGTTGAGCTCTAGTATTATCGTCAACACACTTCAGCATTAAAATTACCCGAAGATTGTAGATTTTCTACATGTTCTGGCCAAGAATGAATCTCATTTTTAGGGTAAAATTCCAGTTCTTTTGAATCTGTTTTGCAAAATATGGATTAGCTCTTATCGCGCAAACACTGCTTTTGGTGATTTTGAACCGATATATAAGCGCTGTGCTTTAACAAGCGCACCTTTCTATCTATCTTTCAGCGGTTTTATTGCGCTACAATCTAGGGGTGGCAACACGTGTGATGAATAGGGGGTGTCGGAGTGATTACGCGAGCAGGGCTGCTTATCGCCCTAGTCGATCGGAATCCAGTTAATCCAACAACTTTGTTTTAAATTTGTTCAGTTTTATCGCCACGTTTTGACTCCCGAGTGACGTTGTCAAGCAAATCAAAGTACTCGTGAGAACTTTGATTTGCTTGACACATATAATAAATGGTTTGTTGGCCTTCTTTCGTGCAATTTCCCTAGATTGTAGTTTTTTGTATTAAAGCCTATGTCGTTTGCGAAAAGATAAGATCTCTTTCCCTGATACGTCGTTTGTGAAGGGAGTCACTATACCGTTTCTACGAATATATTCCGAAATCATAGCAATCATTTCTTTTTTGATCAGTGGATATCCACATTTTTCGAGTATATGAATATACGAAGCCATCTCTTATTTGACTATAATAGAAAATACTCCAGGTCTTCCAATTCTGGACATTTTAACTCCTCGAGTACATATAGTCTTAGAGATTATTGTAGGTCTCGGTATTTTGTATCTTTGTCTTTGTTTGTAACAATGGAGCATCGTAGCTGTTAAGTTTTTTATGTGCAAATAGTTAAAACTGCTTCATTCAGCAGTTCTATTATGTTTTTGTTCTCTTTTTTTCTTTAGCAATTCTGTATTATCTGAAAAAATCATAATCTATTTCCATTTTTAATTTCATTTTAATCCGTTTAGCTGTTTAAGCTTTAAGAGTTGATAAACATACATACACACATAAACCTTCACATTTATATTAATAGTAGTAGTGCCTCGCTTTTCCCGGGATGAAAAGCCTATGTATTAATTCGAGGTTTAATACTACTGTCCGTACCAAATTTCATCAAAATTGGTTCAGCCGTCTTAGCGTGAAGGGCTAACAAACATACGTATACAAAATTTCGCCCTTAAACTATTTGTGACTCGGCAGTAAAATATGTATTACTACTTTGTTCGTACGAAGCAAAAATAACAGAACCTTATTATTGTTATTACTGGAACATCTATCTATCGCGTTTATCAATTTTATACAAGTTTGGTGTGGTAATTGCAACTAACCTAAAAGTCACAATTTCCCTCATATTGAAATTTCAAGGGGCTATGTAACTCTAGTTTTATTACTTAATAAGAAAGTCACACTAACGAATAAATATTGCAAAAAGCCTTCACGTATACAAAATCCCCTTTCTGTTAAAAACACCGGTCGTTTTGGACGAAATTAGATTTTTTCTCAGAAAACGCACAGGCTGCCCGACTCTTCTGTAAAAATCAACCAAAATGGCGCAAATTCAAATGTCACTGTAGGGTAGACGAAATCAGCGCCATCTTTTATATCTAGGAGGAGTTTTTGTTCATTCATACTATTATAGATGGTATTATTTGGAGAAATCGAATGGCGCAATATTATTTAACCTTTTGAGCGCCAAAATCGCCTATACTTGACCAGCACCTGCGAGCTCTGAGCGCCAACGACGTCTATAGTTGACAAAAAACCCGGCCCACAAAAATATGAAATATAGATATTGGAAAATTATTACAGGTATTTTAGTTCTATGTGTGTTATTTTTTAAATTATTATCGATATTTGAATAAAACAAAAGGGAAGAAACGTAAAACTATCATCAGCTACATTAATAAAAGAAAATTTCATCAAATCAACCGCATAATAAATGTAATATCTCAACTCTGGCGCATCCTTAGCAGGTCATCGATTATCAGTTCATTGTCGTGGACTAGTATATAATTGTGTGATACACCCTAATGACATCATAAACGAATAGCGGAAAAAGTAGTGCAGTGCAACATGAACGATTCGCATTTTGGAAAGCGTCGATGATGATGATTTTTTTTTATTTTAATAATATAAAATTAAAAATAATAAATGTTTATTTTTTTCTTAAGTATGAAGAGCAATTTTACATTTTGTGTTTTGCGATTTAATTTCTCAATCTAGGGTATTGACTGAAATCTCTATTATATTTGCTGATGACATTTCCATTCTTATTCCGCATACAAAAGACCAGAATTTAAATAATAAATTGAATCAAGTATTGAACCAGATTACAAATTGGCTGACACATCACAACCTAGAGATTAATTTTAATAAAACCAAAATTATGCAATTCCGACCAGTTCAAAAATCACCACTAAATATCGCTTTTACTTATAATAATATACCTATAGGAACTGTTGACAACTTCAACTTGTTAGGCCTGGAAATCGACTGTCATATAAACTGGAAAGCCCATATAATTAAAGTAAAAAATAGGCTATCCAAATTCACTTACGTATTACGAGAAATAAAGAAAACCACAAATGTCTCCAGCGCTCTGTCAGCATATTACGCATACACATCTTCGTGGCTGTCATACGGTGTCATGTTGTGGGGAAATAGTAAAGAGCAATTATTTATAATGCAAAAAAAAATTATAAGAATCTTGGCAAACATAAAAATTCCGGAAAGTTATAAGTCCCACTTCAAAAAGTTTAAAATTTTGACTTTGACGTGTATTTATATTTGGGAAACATGCAAATTTGTAAAAAACCACCCAGAACTACACTCGGCGTCACAAAAATCACACCTCCCCGAAAAAAGTTACTTGAGTGTCTGGCTCTCAGTGTTTACATTTAATCAAGTCATTATTGGTATTAACTAAAAGTGCGTTTAATAACCTTTAAATTAACAACTGTTTTGTTTCATAAACTTAAGAAATCTTCTGAGGACGAGACGTTGAAATAACTTTTTCTAAAATACGTGTCGTAAAGATCACTAGTTGCGGTGCGTTATGTGCTATAAAAGGGCCGGTACAGGGTAAAATGTGAGTCATTCGCTTTCCAAACGTTGAAGAGGATACACGTAAATTTCTGAATCAAGCTTAAAATCCCACAATATGGGTAACACTGCTGGTGAAACCGCTCAAGTGATTTTGCTACTGCAGTCAGGGATGCGACAGTGTGATGTCGCTCGGCAACTAAACCTATCCCGTTTTTCCGTTCGACGAGTATTCCAACGGTTCCAGGACACCAATGACTATATTCGGAGGCGTGGATCTGGGCGACAGCGCTCCACATCACAAAGAGACGATCGATTCATTGTATCGACATCTTTATGCAATAGATTCTCAAATGCTGTAGAACTGCAACAGCAGCTACGATCAACTCGCAGAACATCTTTAAGCGTCTCTACGATCAGAAGTAGAGGTTGCAATCGAATATTCGAATTATTCGAATTTTATTTCCAAATTTATATTCGAATAGTAAATAAATATATATTCGAATAACTACCAAAAAAATACTAGAAGTCTATGTTGGTAGAACTTAAAAATTGTTGTTGGCAACACTGCTTAACGGCTTGAGTGACTTGCTTGACGCCATTTTGTTGAGTTCATTCACTTACAGAACGCGTTGTTATATACTTGCAAAGCTGTGCATTTTGTCTTTTGTGAAGTGATTTGATTCTGGTGTTTATATAAAAGTATTTGTGGATTGTTTTATGTAAGTATTGTGTATTTTGTTATTTTTTTGCAAACGCGGTGGTTGAATTTATGACTTAACCTAAAAACTCACTTTGCACTGATCACCAAATACCTACGTTATATGTATTTACAAGTATCAAATTCAATTACATTGCAGATCAGTTGACGATGGATAAATTGGTTTTTAAAGAGTACACAAAACGTACGTTTGACAAATCTTCAGTATGGAACTCTTTCTTACGGACTGAGGATGGAAGTCACGCAAAATGCAAATTATGCAAAAGAATTCTTCAATGCTCAAATACCACCACATGCTTACACAATCACTTGAAGAAACAACATCCAAGTGTACCTGGTTAGTCACTCATTTAACTTACTTTTACGGCTTTTACCTTTGTTAACTATTTGTTCACTTACATTTATTACTTTTGACCAAAAGGTATTAACGCTTTTACTCATAAGATTTTTTTTATTGTTCGGTCTACTAGATACAAGAAGAAATATTCGACAGATTCCAGCGACTGCTACGCCTACCACTCCCACAAATGAGGTAGTAGAAGAACAAGATCAGCGGCCCATGCCCAAGACAAAAAAAAGTCAGAATTCACGATTACTATCAGAACACCAAAGAAGATAATATGGAAACTGTGATTTCCAAAATGACTGCGTGTGATGGTCAACCATTCAACGTTTTTTGCAAATCAGAATCTATACGTATGCTTTTTTTAAAAAAGTGGATACGAAGCTTTGCCGAAATCTCCGAACACAATTAAGAAGATTGATAGAAAAGGTTAAAACACTGAATTGTCGGTTTTAAAAGCAAAAGGACAGAAATTTTCCGTCTCTCTTGATGAGTGGACATCAGCTAGCAACCGGCGTTATGTGAATATTAACATTCACTGCGCTAATTTCAATGACAATGACAAGCCTTTCAAAAACTTGGGATTGGCAAGAATTACAGGTAGAGGAACATCGGAAAGATGTAATCATATTTTGCGGGTTTAATTAGGGTCCTACGATCTATTTTTAGAAGATGACGTAGTAGGTGTAGTGACAGACGGTGCTAGCGTTATGACTGCCATGGGTTGTCAAATACCTTCATTTCACCAATTATGCCTTGCACATGGAATTCAGTGTGCAGTGGTGAATGTCATATATAAGAACTTATATAGTCAGAGTGTAGAAACTGTCGAAAATTCAGAAGAAATAGACACAGAGGACACATTATCTACAATAGTAGATTCAGAGGCAGAAGAATCAGAAGATGAAGAAACAGATGAAAATGACGATGGCCAAGGTTTTGTAGTTAGTAATGCAGAAACCAGAAGTGAATCCAGGCTTAATGTCGATTATAAGGATTTGATTGTTAAAGTACGAAAGGTAGTGAAATTTTTCAAGAAGTCTCCAACTAGGACAGAAGTTTTAAATGAACATGTCCTTGAAGATAACAAAAGAGCGGGCCTGGTTTTAGATTGCAAAACGCGGTGGAGCAGCATGGTGGACATGGTTTCAAAATTTTTGCTTTTAAAGGATGCAATATTAAAGGCACTGATTGACTTGAAAGAAAAAACTATGTTCAGTACCTACGAGCTTGATCTTTTGCAGGATTTATCTACGACTCTCACTATCGTAAAAAGCACTGTAGAAGCTTTTTGCCAAGAAAAGGCGAATTTATTAACTGCGGATACAGCCCTGCAATTCATGGTCACTAAACTACAAGAGAACAATGGGGTTATCAGTAGTAGACTCCTTCAGGCTTTAACATTAAGAATCGCTCAACGCCGACAAGCAGATCTGGTATGTACACTGAAGTATTTACACAATCCTAACAAATACTACCAGGAACAATCTTCTACTGTCTTCCCTAAAGTAGGAAATGATGTTATCACCAAAGTCATAGTTGACATACAAAAAAAAATACTTTAATCAAAGACCTTCAACAATAACTTATACTGGCGCTTCTGATGACGAAGATGACATGTTTCTAGCAGATCCTCAGCATTGTCAAAATGAAGAAGCGTCTAGAATTACAAATATGTCAATAAAAGAACAGCTGCAGAAAAAAATGGATGATGAAATGTGTGCAAGGCCTTCTACGTCCACAGCAACTTGCGAAGATGATCTAGAATCATCAATAAAAATGCAGATGGCTTTATATGATGCAGGAACGTCAAGACAAATACACCTAACTCAGGCTTATGACGTGTTAATGTGCATTACACCAACTAGTGTAGAGTGCGAAAGGGTATTTTCTTCTACGAAGTATATCTGCAATCATCTCAGATGTAAATTAAGCGATGATTCCTTAGACGCCTTAAGTTTCCTCAGGTCTCACTTTCAAAGAATACGTAAAAACAATAATTATTATGAGCTGTGTTGATTTTATATTATAATAGGTAAATCTGACTTAATTCTGAGTTATTATTGATGAATCTGATTTATTAGTGTAATATTGCATATGAAAATGATACTGCATTGCCTTTACGACACCTTTACATTTGTGATACTTTTTATTTTTATTATTAACGACTTTAAGACTTTTTGAATTGTTTGAGAATTTTATAATTGTTTTGATTAACATGTTCATGTATAATCATGAGATTTATAAGAACGTAAGGTTCCTACTATGTTTAAGAATTTGATAATACTTTTTATTTTACTAAACACCGAGTTTATATTGTTTAAAGATAAATGATGATTCTATTCGTGTTAGTATGTTAGATTATTTGCAATGTTAATTATTGTGTTTTGATTAACATGTTCATGTATAATCGTGAGATTTATAAGAACATGTTTCCTACTATGTTTAAGAATTTGATAATACTTTTTATTTTACTAAACACTGAGTTTATATTGTTTAAAGATAAATGATGATTCTATTCGTGTTGGTATGTTAGATTATTTTCAATGTTGATTATTGTTCTGTTCCTAAAGCAATGAAAGCTGATATTTGAAGTGTTTTTTTAATATATTCGAATATTCGAATAATATTCGAACAGCACTGAAAAAATATTCGAAAATCAAAACTACCGAATATTTGCAACCTCTAATCAGAAGACGGTTAAGAGAAAAGAAAATTGCAGCGTATAGGCCTGCAACTGGTCCAAAATTGACCGCACAGCATCGCAGAGATCGATTGCAATTTGCACACGATCATATTGATTGGACGATCGACCAAAGGAGGACAGAACTTTTTTCGGATGAGACGAGAGTATGTGTTTTCTCCAATGATAAACTCATAAGAGTATACAGAAGGCAAGGGGAACGATTTGCACAAGCCTGTATTGAAGAAACAGTTGGATTCAAGGGTGGCTCATGCATGTTCTGGGGTGGCATGTCAGTCGACGCCAAAACCAGCCTTGTCTGCGTTTCCCGGAGTGGAGGTGCTCGTGGTCAAGGGTCGCTGACTGCTCACCGATACATATTGGAGATCCTAGAAGAGCATGTGGTTCCATACGCGGGTTTTGTTGGCGATGGATTTACATTAATGCATGACAACGCCCGCTTGTGATTGATGTGATTACCTTCAAGAGGTCGGGATCTCTGTTATGCGGTGGCCGGCGCAAAGTCCAGACATGAACCCGATAGAGCACCTCTGGGATGATTTAAAGCAGGGAGTACGGACTCGTGATCCTGCCCCCACCACACTGCAAGAACTCGAGGAGGCTGTTATTGAGGAATGGGACAACATTCCTCAAGAACGCATTGTTACGTTGATTAGATCAATGAAAGATCGTATGGAAGCAGTAATTAAGGCAAAGGGTGGTTAACACTAGGTTTTAGGTGGTTTCAAAACATGTTTCTTTTAATTTTGTGAGTTGCAATAAATCTTAATTTTCTTCTTGTGGACATTAACTTCTTTTTTTTTATTTCCCGGTAAAAACATATGATAACCATTATTTTTTCTAATGAGTAAATTTAATTACCTTTCCAATGATATAACATACTTATAGACTTACCATTGATTAAATGGATTTAAAAGTAGTTTGAAGTAGAAATTTAAAGAGGTGCGATTTTTGTGACGCCGAGTGTATTTACCAAATTAAGTGAAACAAATTACAAATACTCAATTAGACCAAATAAAAATAGGCTACTATTGCCAAAATCTACTCTTGCTTTGCATAGCTCTAGTCCCTACTGTATGGCAGTTAAAATTTTTAATATTCCTTCCAAATGACATAAAAAATTTAACGAGTACTACATTATTTTTATCCCAATTAAAGTTATATTTAATTGAAAAATGTTTCTATAATTTAAATGAATATTTTGATACAAATATTATTTAATTTGTGTGGATAACTTCGGCCTGTGCCTATCTAATTTAATTTAATTTTTTTATTCAATTATTATTTTTTACTTAATTTTATTTTTATTTATAATAATAATTATTTTTTGCTTGACATTGTGATTATTAATTTAATTAAATATACATAATTTTAAAATAATATAATCTAATAATGTAATTTATTGATGAAATCTAATACTGTAGTTTAAAACAATATTTAATATTTTTATAATTGCTATGCCAAATCTGGGTTCAAATGCAGACTATTTTTTTTAAAACATCACATTTATTGTTACCATTTGATTGCAATAAAGATTATGATTATCTCAAATCATCTGGTAGCATCAACATCATATCAAACCCTCATTGTCATAAGAGCGTAAGACTTTTCTTCTGTGCTTCACTTGGCCTACGCCTCCCCCGACACATAAAATATTTTGAGTCGATCTCTGTATATTTTGGTTAGATCGATTTCGACATCGATACACAACGTGCGACACGGCTACATCTCTAAGATCTACTATTTTATTGTTATTGATTTTATTTATATACAAAGTACATATATAAAAAGTGGAAGACATCACAAGATTAAATAAAACATACCAGATTATAAAGACTCATTTATTGCTTAAAAAACCAACAAAATCAAGTAATTTTGTGTTATCGATATATCAACTCCTGGCAACACTATTTTTTTCGTAGATATTTTTGTTTTTTACCTGATACTACGGCGGCGGCGGCGTGACAAACCTATCGTAAGATGTCACGAACATTGGATTCACCCATTTACGGCCTTGTGACCCATAGGTCGGGTAATGGATTTTTCTAGATAAAATATCAAGAGCTGCGAGAATATAATAAAAAGTTTTTCGGATATTACAGAATGACTACAAAATCATTCGATAATTTACTACGACTAGTTGGTTGGGCTATTACCTATCAAGATACGAATTGGAGAAAAGCAATTTCAGCTGAAGAGAGACTCTCGATAACTCTAAGGTAAGATGTTCCATTCTTATAGGTACTAGGTACAGCCTGCACAGCAGTGTAAGCTAAAATATATCTAAGCATTTCATAAAAGTCAATCTTATTAAAAGAAAGAGCACCTTTCTTTTGATTGTTTCTTCGAAACAATTGAAAGTGCACCCTAATTTCTTTGAGCTCAGTTTGATTTTTATCAAATGCTTAGATGTATTTAATGCATCTTTGTCATTTTAGCGCTGATAATACCATTTATTTTAAATTTTCACGTTCTCTTAATTTATCCCCCCCCCCCAGCCCCCCCCTCCCATTTGATATTGTAACATTCCAAAGTATATTTAATAACTGACGGAGGTAAATAAAAACAAGGTTTAATCATACAGCATCATTTATTTATAAGTAATGTAACTTTTATTTAAATAAAATATAATCTTTCATGTCAAAACTACTCCCCTCTACTACGAATGTAGAATGATTAAATGAAGTATTTGGAAAATTTGACAGCGAGTATGGGGATTGAGGAGACGGATCAGGCGGAGATTGAGGAATGACAGTTGAATTACGAGATGGTGTGTATTGGGTTTGAGGAGACGGATCAGGCGGAGATTGAGGAATGACAGTTGAATTACGAGATGGTGTGTATTGGGTTTGAGGAGACGAATCAGGCGGAGATTGAGGAATGACAGTTGAATTACGAGATGGTGTGTATTGGGTTTGAGGAGACGGATCTGGCGGAGATTGAGGAAAAGATGGTGGGTATTGGTAAATTTGGGGAGAAGGAGATTGATGGATAGTATTTGGGTAGGGTGATGGCGTATTTGGGTTGTAAGATGAATACGATGATGATGATGATTGATATTGAGACTTAGCGGATCTGACTCTAGGCGGTATAAAATTTTGTGGTGAATATTTTGTTGCTCTGTTAAGTGCATTCAGAATTTCAATTTTAGCGTAATGTTTCTGGTCTGTTGAGAGATTCTTGAGCATTGGTATGATCATTTCACAAAATGAAACATCCTCATCATAAGTTTTATCCTGCAATAATTTCAATAACTCATCATCGCTATTATTCTGAATTTTAGTCTTTTTACGCATGCTCGTTTTAAGTCTCCTATTTCGTGAAGCTTCTGTGTCAGTATCTTCGTCGGATTGATTTGTAAGGTCTTCGGCATTACTGTTAGTGCTTTCTGTGTCTTTAATATTATTTGTCGTATCTCTCATTGATTTTTGAGTGGCTAAAAATGAAAGTGCTCCCATGTGTATGTATGGTCTTTTTTTTCTTTGCGGCTTGACCCGAAACTACCTTTTTATCAGCTGCCACCTCCTTGAAGTATGTATCTTTAAGATTTTTCCATTTTTTTTTGCACATCAGCTCCTGTAAAAGAAAATAAAATAAGGTAATTGTTGTGTAGATAAATAATAAACTATAATTTGTTTGAATTTTATATTATTGGTGTTACATATTTTGTTGTAATTATTGCAGGTACTAGGCTTCAGGAAATAGCTACTATTCGCTATATTACGAATATCTAATTGGTATCTCTACAATTGGTGAAATTATAGAAGACACGTGTGAAAGACTATGGTCTTGTTTACAATCTTTATACATGCCAGATCCAGATGAAAGAACTTGGTCCCATACTGCCGAACTTTTCTATAAAAGAACCCATTTTCCACATTGCTTGGGAGCGGTGGATGGAAAGCATATAAGGTGCGAACAGCCTAATGGCGCGGGTTCTGAATTTTATAATTATAAACAATATCATTCTTTAGTTTTAATGGCGGTGGTTGATGCAAATTATTATTTCATCAGTGTTGACATAGGTGCTTACGGCAGCAGTAGCGACTCTACCGTTTTTAAAAATTCTGCATTTGGAAAGAAGCTTGAAGGTGGTCAGTTAATACTTCCATCACCAACTTACCTACCAAAAGATGAAAATGGGGAAAAAATGCCTTATGTTTTTGTTGGAGATGAAGCGTTCGCTCTCTCAGAACACATAATGCGACCATACCCCAGAAGAAACCTATCTGTAACTCAAAGAGTTTTTAATTACAGACTCACACTAGCAAGAAGATTTGTAGAATGCACTTTTGGCATACTTACTAATAAATGGAGAATTTTACATCGGGTTTTAGATGTAAAACTAACAACTTGTGACCAGATAATTAAAGCATTTTACATAATTACGTACGCAAACATGATGGAATTCGGTTTAAGGACAAATTGTATGGGACCGAGTTACAAAGTTTGCACCCTACTCCTGTGAGATCTAGAATATCCAGCATTGAAAATAGACAATATTTTGCAGAATATTTTAATTCACCGAAAGGGTCAATTCCATGGCAATATGAAAAAATATAAAATATAAACGTCTACCCATATTATAGGTATATATTCTATATTAAATTACAGACCAACAAAAAATCTTTGATTATATACATGTCTAGATGGACACATTGACCGTACCGAACGGCTCGAAAAGTCTACTATAATTATTGGTAGACTCGCTTCTCACCTACGCCAGTGTCATTTGAGTCACCTATGGATAATAAGCTCACGAAAAATGATTAATTATGCCGGTTTGTGCTATCAAATTGTATCGCAATTACGTGGGAAGTAAAGAAGTAAATTATATTATTTAACTACTTTATTTTAAGAAAACACAGTTTTTTAATTCGTTACTGTTTAGGTTAGTCTGATTAGCTTGTGTTGCCAGTTTAATATTAGGGAAACTTAGCGAAACTATGGGAGACACATTATAAATATCATTACATCTTTTTGTAATTTTTAAACATTTTGTTAATGAATAAAAATATTTTATTTTAATATTTATTTATTTATCTTTGTAAATCATAAAAAGATGCAGTAGTACTTATAAGTTTTTGTTTGTTTAAAAAAATTAAAAGAAAAATATTTGTAATTATGTTTATATTTTTTGTTTTTACTAAATTAAATAAAACACTAATCTACGAAATAGTTACTTTATTTAACCTATTTTGTTTAAACTACACCTTATTAAATAATGGGGAAAAGTTAAGTTAATAATTTGAAGCAAGTATCCCTAAACACGCACATCTTGACAGTTTGACTACAATAAGTACACGAGCGGTGACGTAAGTAAAGGTAAGACATATCACGTAATTCGGGCCGGTTTTTGCGCGAAGTTTGTTTGCATTGCTCAATCTAGACATGTAGGTATATAATCAAAGGTTATAAATAAAAATATTTAATTTGTAAACGTCATTAAATTAAAAAAAAATACTTTATATTTACCTTTTTGTTTTTTTTTTCAACAACACTGCATTGTTCCCAACTAAAATATATGTCTTGATATATTTCCTCCCACAATCTCGCCTTCAATATTCTGTCGTGGTACTTTGGATTAAATTTGTCCCACAGGGGAGGTCTCCCTGTGTATCAACGTGATTAATTGCTCAATATCAATGTCGTCATTTTCTAACTCCTCTGCGGCTCCCGATCGGGCGGGAGACGAAGCGCGCGACATCCTGCTAACAGCGCCAGTACACGACTGAGCGAAACGCGCGGATTTTATTTCGCAGTGCGGCTATAGCCATAACTACTATATACTGTACAAAACATTCGCGCGGAAATAAATCCGCGCCGCATCGCGTTCAATTTGCATCAAATCACAGATTTTTTTTCCGCGTGATTTTTTTACCGCCAGTGCGGATACTCCTATAAGATTCAATGTGTTACAGAATTGCGAGAATAAAAACGTGCGGTGAAATATCGCAGTGCGGACAGGGCGTTATATATTAGGCCTCGTCCACACAGCGAATATTCACCGCGCGAATTTTATATATCGGATTTTTATTCCGTGATCAAAATTACACCTATTACGCACTGAGAATGAAATTCCGCACGATATTTGTCAGTTTGATGTAGTTCCCCGTTCAAAACAATACTACCGTTTTATTTACTAGATACTACGGCGGCTATGTAATGGACGTATCAAAAGTAGCCATCAACACTGGATTCACCCCTTTACGGCTTTGAGACCAATGAAAGGATTTTTCTACATAAAATATCAAGAGCTACGAAAATACAGTAAAAAGTTTTTCAGATATTATAGAATGAGTAAAACATCATTCGATAATTTACTACGACTAGTTGGTCCAGCTATTACCTATCAAGATACAAATTGGAGAAAAGCAGTTTCAGCTGAAGAGAGACTTTCGATAACTATAAGGTAAGATTTTCCGTATTTAGGTAGAGGTATGCACCACAAGTAGGTATTATAGGTATAGTATACTAAACATTTCATGAAAATCGATCGTATTAAAATAAAGCAACGTGGTCTTTTCAAAGTGCACCTTATTATCGATCTTCATAAAATGTTTAGAAATATTTGGCACTAAATAAGTATTGACTACAATTCAAAAAACAATGATAAATAAAAAAGTAGGATTAATCTTACAGAATCATTTATTAAAGTAATTAACTTCTATTTAAATAAAATAAAATCTTTCATGTCAAAACCACTCCCCTCTACTACGTACGAAGAATGATTAAATGAAGTATTTGGAAAATTTGAACTGAGAGACAGTGTGTATTGGTCTTGAGGAGACGGATCAGGCTGTAATTGAAGAATGACATTAGATTTACGGGATGGCGTGTACTGAGTTTGCTGAGACGGATAAGGTGGAGATTGAGGAATGATAGATGGATTACGAGATGGCGTGAATTGAGTTTGTGTAGTCGGATCAAGTGGAGATTGAGGAATGATAGATGGATTACGAGATGGCGTGAACTCATTTTGTGGAGACGGATCAGGCTGAGATTGAGGAACGTTAGATGGATTACGAGATGGTGTGTACTGAGTTTGAGGAGACGGATCAGGGTGAGATTGAGGAATGTTAGTTGGATTACGAGATGGTGTGTACTGAGTTTGAGGAGACTGATCAGGCGGAGATTGAGGAATGATAGATGGATTACGAGATGGTGTGTACTGAGTTTGAGGAGACGGATCAGGCTGAGATTGAGGAATGTTACAGGGATTACGAGATGGCGTGTACTGAGTTTGAGGAGACGGATCAGGCTGAGATTGAGGAATGTTAGATGGATTACGAGATGGTGTGTACTGAGTTTGAGGAGACTGATCAGGCGGAGATTGAGGAATGATAGATGGATTACGAGATGGCGTGTACTGAGTTTGAGGAGACGGATCAGGCGGAGATTTAGCATATATAGGATAGGGTGATGGCGTATTTGGATACGGTGATGGCGTATTTGGATACGGTGATGGCGTGTTCGGATTGTATGATGAATGCGATGATGATGACTGACGAAATCTAGGTGGCATAACATTTTGTGTAGGTGGTGAATATTTTGTTGCTCTGTTAAGTACATTCAGGATTTAAATTTTGGCATAGTGTTTCTGGTCTATTGATAGATTTTTTAACATCGGGATGAGCATTTCACAGAATGAAACATCTTCATCATATTTTTTCTCCTGCAATAGTTTCAATAACTCATCATCGCTGTTATTCAGATTTTTACTCTTTTTACGCATGCTCGCTTTCAGTCTTTTATTTTGTGTAACTTCTGAGTCAGTGTCTTCGCCGGATTGATTAGTGAGGTCTTCGGCATTACTTGTACTGTTTTCTGTGTATGTAACATTATTTGTCGCATCTCTCAGAAATTTATGAGTGCATAAAAATGAAAGTGCTCTCATGTGTATGTAAGGTCTTTTCTTTTTCTTTCTAGCTTGACGCGACACCAACTTTTTATCATCTGCTACCTCCTTGAAGTATGTATCCTTGAGATTTTTCCATTTTTTTTTTTGCACATCAGCTCCTGTAAATGAACATAAACTGTTTTATTAAATAACTTACTGTCATAGGTATGATTTATCTATTTTTTTTTGGTGTTACATATTTTTTTATGATTGTTGCAGGTACTTGGCTTCAGGAAATAGCTACTATTCACTATATTTCGAATATCTTATTGGCATCTCTACAATTGGCGAAATTATAGAAGAGACGTGCGAGAAATTATGGTCATGTTTACAACCTTTATATATGCCAGAACCAGATGAAACAACTTGGTGCCAAACTGCTGAAATTTTCTATAAAAGAACCCATTTTCCACACTGCTTGGGAGCGGTGGATGAAAAGCATATAAGATGCGAAAAGCCTAACTGCGCGGGTTCTGAATTTTATAATTATAAGCAATATCATTCCTTAGTTTTGATGGCGGTAGCTGATGCCAATTATTTTTTCATCAGTGTTGACATATGAGCTTACGGTAGCAGCAGTGACTCTACCGTTTTCAAAAATTCTGTATTTGGTAAGAAGCTTTAAGGTGGTCAGTTAATGCTTCCTTCACCAAGCCACCTGCCAAAAGACGAAAACGGGGAAAAAATGCCTTATGTCTTTGTTGGAGATGAAGCGTTCGCTCTCTCAGAACACATAATGCGCCCATACCCGAGAAGAAACCTATCTATAACTCAAAGAGTTTTTAATTACAGACTTACATTAGCAAGAAAATTTGTAGAATGCACATTTGGCATACTTACAAGTAAATGGAGAATTTTACATCGAGCTTTAGATGTAAAACTAACAACTTGTGACCAAATAATTCAGGGGTCTAATAACAAAGGCGGCAAAGTCCCATATCATTATATGGGACTTTGCCGCCTTTGTTATTAGACCCCTAAATTAAACCATGTTGCATTTTACATAATTACGTACGGAAACATGATGGAATTAGGTTTGAAGACAAACTGTATGGAACCAAGTTGCACAGTTTACGCCCTAGACCTACGCGTGAGATCTAGAATATCCAGCATTGAAAATAGACATTTTGCAGAATATTTTGATTCATCGAAAGGGTCAATTTCGTGGCAGTATGATAAAATATAAATAATCATATACTTAACTGTAATATTAGACCATAGGTGTGAGCTAATTAAAAAAGAACAAATCAGAAATAAAAAAAAATAAACTGTATCTACTCTATGGTTCTAGACAATGGCGTATCTGTTCTAAACGTGTTCTAAAAGAATATGCAAAGATAATTTTTGACAATACAAAAGATATCTGAAGAAATCCTGGTTTCATTCGACACCCGTACCACATAAACTACACATAGACCAACAAGAAATACTTACCTACAATAATTATTGTCAACTTGTAAACTTATTATAATAAGAAACTATTTTACTTTAGTTACCTTAAAAAAAATAAAAATATAAATTTCTTCGCAACTTTCCGCCAAACAAATACAATGATGTGTCTTACCTGGATTGAAGAGCACCTCCCGCCCTCCCTCAATTGCCTGCACTAACTCCGTCACCACTCCCGCCCTCCCTCAATTGCATGCACTAACTCCGTCACCACTAATCCCAGCACCACTACTCCCAACACCACTATTCCAGGCAAGACACATCATCGACGATAATACGACACGTGTTTCACCTCTACACGAGGCATCTTCAGGTAATGTAGACTTTAGGGCGGCTGATCAGCCGCCGTAAAGATCCGCACCTCCCGCCGTAAAAGATCGGCGGGAGGTGCTCTTCAATCCAGTTAAGACACATCATTGTATTTGTTTGGCGGAAGGTTGCGAAGAAATTTATATTTTTATTTTTTATTATAATGGATTTCCGCAAAGTAACGCCTAATTCTATCAATTTAGTTACCTTTTTGTTTTCTTTCACCAACACTATATTGTTCCCAAGTAAAATATAACTGTTGATATTATTTCCTTCCACAATCTCGCTTTCAATATTCTGTCGTGGTACTTTGGGTCAAATTTGTCCCATAGAGCAGGTCTCTTGTGCATCAGTGCGATTAATTGCTCTATATCAATGTTGTCATCTTCTGGTAGCTCCTGCGCGCCTGCCGATCGGGCGGGAGATGAACGAGGCCTTAGCGTAAACTGTAGTTACAATACATTGTAATTCAATAATAATTGAGATAATCGACCATTCAGAAATAAATATTATACCAGAGGCTAATGATGTAGGTAGAGATAATTCCCTCGCTGACCTTTGATCTAGAAAAGACGCCCTGTTTACCGCGACGACCAACAAGCATTGTGGTACTAATGGAAAAGGATATTTCAAAATAGTTTTTTTTTGTATCCTTTATTTACAACAATATGTCGCCTTTGAGGGACATTCAGCAGTATGTTTGTTGGTGCTATCGCTGGCGTGCTCGGTATGTGACCTGTGTCACATCCTCATTATTAAACAGTAACTGGGTTTACTGTGGTAATCTTGGGTATCTTGTGCTTTAAGCGTCGCGCTTTGTTGTGGTTTGCCATGAGTGGCCGGGCCAGAATATTTGGATGACGTTCGATGCACTCTTTATACGTTCTAGTATGGCGTAGGATTTCCTGTTTCACAGTAGGCAGGCGTAGATCATGATGTAGTAATTCGTTGGGCACATACCAGGGGGCATTGGTTATCATGCGGAGTGCTTTATTTTGAAACCTTTGTAAGATTTCGATGTTTGAATGGGATGCAGTACCCCACAGTTAGATTCCTTACGTCCAGATAGGTTTCAGTATTGCCTTGTATAGAAGTATTTTGTTTTCTAGAGACAATTGAGACTTTCGTCCTATGAGCCTGAGAGTTTTCGCGTTTTAATACCGACTTGCTTTCTCTTAGTGTAAATATGTTTTTGCCAGGTAAGTCTTTTGTCTAAGTACAATACAAGGTATCTCACATGATCTGCCTGTGGAACTGCAATGTTGTTAAGTGTGACTGGAGGGCAAGAGCCCCTTCTTAGGGTGAACGTTACGTTGACTGATTTGGTTTCATTTGCTTTTATCCGCCACTTTTTGAGCCAGTGGGATATGTCATTTAGCCCATTTTGAAGTATTTGTGAGGCTATTTTTAGGTCGCTATGAGTAGCCAGTATAGCGGTGTCGTCAGCAAAGGTTCCAGTGATTAATGATTCAGATGTCGGCAGGTCCGTAGTGAAAAGTAAATAGAGTATGGGACCCAATACGCTGCCCTGCGGGACTCCTGCTTTTATAGGGCAGAGATCTGACAGAGCTTCCCCTTATTGTACTATGAAATGCCGCTGCTGGAGAAATGATTTTAATATCCCGTAAAGGTGATCTGGTAGTGCATTTTTCAAATTAAATAACAATCCCTCATGTCACACGCGGTCAAACGCTTGAGATATGTCCAGGAACGCACTGGCGCAGTAAGATTTACCTTCCAGTGACTCCATGATGTATTTTGTTAGCCTGTGCACTTGGTCGATAGTGGCATGCTTACTGCGGAATCCAAACTGGTGGTCAGGGATTAGCTCCTTCTCTTTGAGTATAGGCAAAATTCGTTGTAGCAGTAGGAATTCATATATTTTGGATGGAATGGGTAGCAGACTTATGGGCCTGTACGATTTTGTTTCTTCAGGTTGTTTCTCTGGCTTTAGCAGCATTACAATTTGTGCGACCGTCCACTCCAGGGGGAAAAAACTGCAGTCTGGTCATGGCATTAAATAGTAAAGTAAGGAAAGTTATGCCAGATTCAGGTAGTTCGTGTAATATTCGGTTTGTAATGAGGTCGTATCCTGGAGCCTTTTTTGGGTTTGATTTTCTAATTATTCGAGCAACTTCTGTTTTTGTAAATTTAAGAGGCATTTCCTGCGTATCTTTTGGGTTATTTGAGTGGTTAATAATTTCTGCTGCATCTTCTGGCGAGCCGTCATATGGGTGAGGGGTAAAGACGTTGGAGAGGTGTTCTGAGAAAGTTTTGGCTTTCTGCTGGTCTGTCCGCGCCCAGGTACCATCTGGTTTTCTTATAGGAGGAGAGACGTTGACAGGCCGTTTTAGTCTTCTGGTGGCTTTCCATAAAGAGTAGTCCGAGGAAGCAGTAGTATCCAGATCGGAAATATAATATATGTATATATATAAATAATATATATAAAATTAGTTTGTTGGCGCGCATTTAAAACCTGAAGTAACTTAGATCATACTTTGGGCTGATTCATGTGGCGGAGAAAACAGGAGCATTTCATTGAATTTTCCGTCGAATTTACCTCATGGACACAAATCACCACATCGCGACAAAATTTAAGATACCATCCACATCATCTGGATGATTGGCGGTCCACCACTGTGCGTTTTACTGGAAGTTTTCTGCCTCGCACGACTATTTTGTCGAATCGTTTACCACCGGTGATTTTTCTGGACCAATAAGACTTAGGGATCTTCAAAAACCTAGTTTACTCCATTTTATAAGACCAACAGCGCACCTGCGATTCCTCTGGTGATGCAGTTTTTTATGGCCAGTGGTCGACACTTACCATCTGGTGAGCCGCATGCTCGTTTGTCCCTTCCACTATAAAAAAGGAGCATCGAAATGATGTTGAATCTTTTGACAAAGTCATGCAATGTTACAAAAATAACTATGAGATACTCGTACCTTCAGCCAGGACATATATTATGAGATATTTTCCGAATGACTCTAGTTCGGGTAAGTTGAATGTGCCTTAAAATCAAAATTCGTTTATATACTCCAATACATAAACTTTCCATGATGGAAAACTGCCGCCGCCAGAACAAATTTGTAGTCAGTAGGCTTTAAAAAGAAGAATTTAAATCAATAAAGGTGTTACAAATTAAAACTTTGTAACAACTAACCGAAAATCTGATGTAGATAAATAAAAATTTCTTGGCTTAAAACTTTTTAAATAGAATTATGTCATGATGAACTATTGAAACTTACCATGAAATCAAAACTCAAGGAGCTACCTCAGGTGATTTACATTTCAAAGGGTGGAAAGAGTCGTAAACAAAACAAGAATTTCACACTTGATCTTCCTATTCTATACCCGAATGGGTGTGAACTATCAGCAGCCAAAATTATATGTTGATTTGTTAAGCTCATTCCAACAGATGCTAAAGGAAGGAAGGTTTCTTAAGGAAAATTGCGTCGGGTGATTTAATATATGATGCTGGATTCTTGGGTAATTTAATTGATTTCGATAAAGAATAAAATTTGAAGGAACATTAAACACTTTTTTGTTAAATTACCAATTACTTTAATCTGTTGTAATTTCTTGGTTATATTAGTCAAAGCGATTATAAGACAAGTTTTAGATAATATTAAGTCAGTGATTCTACAGTGCAACTGAATAAAATATAAATTTTATTCAGTTGCATTGTAGAAAGATTGTAGAAAGATATCTATAAAAATACATACACACTCGCTAAGCTAAAAATGATTAAGCTAGTCAGAAGACATACTAAGTTTTGTAAAAGAGAGACTTATTTTTGTTATTATTAGTTACAGTATTAAAGAAATCTGGTGGAAGCTATTAAAATTTTTGATGTTTTTCAAGTAAGGTCAAATTTGCTTAAAAAAAGTTAGCTTTCTTGTATTTTCATATCAATAAGAATAAAAAAAATATTTACGCATTGATCAGTAGTATATAATAAGTCTATGTATTTATGACTTTTATTTAAAACTATTTAACAAACTTTATGCGAGAACATACTTTTATCAACATTCATTTATGCTCCTTAAAATATATTTACTTTAATTAAATATCAGAATCAGAATTCAGCAAAATTGTGTCAAGTTCCCCAATTTCCTCTTTCAAATAATAAAGTGCGTTTTATATTTTTCAATATGCAATAATCTCATTTTTTTGAAAAATGTAACAGCTTTTTCTTTTTTTATGATAACAATCTACTTTCAATCCATTATTACTTTTATCAAATGTAGAAAAGAACCGGTGTATACATCCTCTTTCAAACTAATTTATTAAGAATTGGTATAAAATCTTTAGATGCCATTTTCTCAAAATAATGTCCATGTGGCTTGATGTTGTATTGCTTATCAGCTTCCAATTAATACTCAATGTTTCTAATGAAATATTTATTATTAATTACTACTTATTAATAATATTATTAAAATGTGTAATTCACTGAAAGGAAAACTTTATGTCATATCATCATGAAAAGCTTTCTACATATATCACATCTTCGTCATATCTAGAACAAATGTTCCTATTCATTATTTTATTAAGGCAACTTCAGTAAATTTTCATCCAACAATCATGTTTGCTCCTCTGAGCTGAAGGTATCCTGCTGTAATATCCATTGGTAAACTCCTAATAGTTGCAAATTCTTCTACATTGCTATAAAACAATTTTGAATGACGGTCCATATAAGGGGCTGGAAGGCCTGATATATCTGAATATTTTTTTGTTGGTTTAAATGTTGGTGGTGCATTTATTGAGAAATCTGAAACAATTTTAACACAATTGAAAATATTTATGTAAAAATTTAAGCTATTAATGTACTATAAACACTGTAATATAATCTAGGATATTTGAATCTTAGAATAACCATTTAGTTCAAATACTTTGAGCTGGTTTGTAATTATAAGAAGTGAAGTAAATATAAACACATCAATCCGTATTATTGATGATTACAACCTCCTCGACAAATTTTTGACCACAGCAGCTAACTCATCCATGCCATATTAACTGTACAACAATGAACAATACATAATTTTGAACTAACTTTTATTCTAAGCTCTAACTCCCCCAGCGGCCTCATGAGACCGCAGCCATATTCTGTTAAATCCCTAGCGATCTCAAGAGGCCGCACCCACCCACAGCACTTCAACCCATAAAAACTTAAATATAGAGACTACTTTTCTATGAAGAAGTTTGGCATTATAGAATCAGTATGAAATTTTCAATCCTCTAGTACAATAAAAAGTTAGTTATTATCCTATATATCGATATCCGATATTTATTTATAATCTACGTTCATTTCGTACACAATAAGTTTGGTTGAAATTTAGAATCGTTTGGCAGGAATTTGGGGGAGTAAAGGTGTTTTATTTGGTAGAGATTTGGTCCCCGATTATAATAATACCACTCTCATTAAAAGGTAATGCACTGTTCTTGAGAAAAATCATAAAGAAAATCCCATAGAACTAACCTCAAAATCATAACTCAAAATGAATTAAGGGGATGGGAGGTGGTGGAGAGGGAGGCGGGGGGAGTTGTAGAGTCACCCCCCACTTCCACATCCTGCCTGACATGCTAAGTTTTTTTTTATAAATTTTTAAAAATCTAATTTTGAGGTTATGTTTTTGTAATGTTTTTGCCTATAATCCTTATTTATGGGGGGAGAGAGTTGGAGGAGGAAAGCACCACATAGGGCAGTTGAGGGAAGGCTGGACGACGGAGCCCCGCTTTGCGGGGCTCCTACTTCTGAGTGGTTTACAAACAAATAACCACGAAGGGAATAGCGGGGTCTATTCGCTCGCTTCGCCCGCTCACTCGACCCCGTTATCCCCTTCTAACCTAACCTGTCCGAGTCGGGATGCCCTAAGTCCCGCTCAATTCGCTCGCTCTTGCACTCAATAAAACACCAAAATATTAGCTTTTATAATTACTTTAAATTATAAACATAATATATAATACAATAATAACCACACTACGGCTCGCACAGGTGCCTGCGAATTGCTACGACGGATGGGGGCTGCTCTCCCTCCGCACCTATGTCTTTACAAAAACACTTTAGGAGTAGGGCAGACAAGACTATGTGGATTCGGGGCGTGCTGATTTAATTTTAGTACAAATTCGATCAGATCAGATATCTATAGTAGAGATGGGCCGAATATTCGTTTTATGTTCAGTATTCGGCAGCTTTACCGAATATTCGTATTCGGCCGAATATTCGGCTAAATCACCGAACATTCGGACCGAACATTTTCATAGTGTCCAATGTATTGAAATGTACGAATTGAGTAATGCGATGTCTTTTACTGTTGAAAGTATATTTTATTTATGGGTTAAATCCACTCGTACTTACTCTAGTCTAGAGTGCCTCAAATGACTAAATTTATACATTTATGTTTTAGAGGCACTGTAGTCACAGTAATAATTTGTTTACATAATGCTCACTAACTTTATAACCGGTCAGGAAATTTAGATTGAGGAGGAAATGAGAGATACAAGTGTCGTGCCTTTTTTGCTTAAAATTTATTGTTTTATTAAGTGTTGTTGATTTACTATAGTAAATTTTTCTGTCTTGGTGAGGTTTTAACATCTGTAAATTAGTAAGTGTTTGTAGTTATGCCGTTTTTATGTAATTTTTTGTTGTAGTAATATAATGGAGGACGAACCTCCCGATCCCGGAAGGGTTCGCAATGATTCCTTTTCCTTACCCATTAATATTGATAATATAGAACTAATTAACCGTAAACGTGCCCAAGTAAGTAACGAGTCTGCCCATCCACAAAAAATAGTTATTACTGATCCAAATCAACAGTTTCCTTCAATACAATCCTCATATACCCATCCTGATTTTATTAATAAAAAAGTTAAGTACTCTCAAGATGATGCCGCTCCTTTTCTAGTTCACGTAAGTAAAATCTCAAATGATCAGCTGTCTGGAGTAACTCTTAAACCAATTAAATTCGGTCGGTCACTTTCTGTATCATAACAATATTAAAAATATAGTCCGTGATGGAGTCAAAAAAGTTGGACGAAATAATATCGAGCCTTTACCGCCGTTTTAGCGCAACCGACAAAAAACAAATTTTACAAGAGAAGGTTTTTTTTAAATATGTTTTAATAGAAATGTGCTAGTAAATTGAAATTTTACATACATTATTTATTTTCAGACATTTACATATATAATGGAAAAAAATACAAAAATATTTAGTATTTAAGCTACTTATGTCGCTTAATTTATTTTTGCTGTCATAATCTAAGGTTGTTTTGGCATTTACGATAAAAATATCCATTAATATTACTAATACAATAAACTATATTTTGATAAATGAATTGATATTTTAAAAGACGTTTAAACGAAATAGTTATAAAATATTGAAAATGAAAATTTATTTCTATTTAACAATTAGAGTAACGAGATCAATCAGCATAATTATAAACTTAACTAGTTATTTAAAATGAAATAAAGTATTTCTTCTCGTATGAATGATCTTAGCGCGTTTTCACTGAACACCAGGGTTGTCATGGTTTTTACACAAGACATTAATTCAATAATTAAATCAATCATTTTGATTAGTGAGATCAATATTGTATTAATATAAAATTAAATTAAATATTTTTAATTCTCCTCATCTTCATCTGTTTCAGCTAAAGCATCACGTACGTTTTCATCATGCTTCATACTTAAATATTCTTGATGGTATCTGTTTGGAATCACATTTTTGTTACACAGATCCTGTAAATCTTTGTATTTAGCTAATGAAAGTTTAAGCTCTTCGGCGTATAAAGGTGTAGGTCCCTTTTCCACAATAGCTTTGTTTGCTCTCGATCTGATGATGAAATCCATGTTTATTTCGTAATTGTCACTATCTTCGAAAAAACCGTATTGAAATGTAACAATAGGATTATTTTTATGAAATTGCACCACCCTTAATGAATTAAAATTAATCTTAAATTTTGCTGGTAATAAAGCTTGTGAAAAATTCTTCCAATCCATGAAGTCTCCATAGTTTAAAACATTTACGTTGTAGTTTCTAGGCTTATTTCTAGCATTAGTAAGCATAGTTGGCCACTCAGAAGGAGCCCATACTGTTTTATTACGCACAAAACTTTCAATAGTGCTATGAATTGAGTCAACAGGCATCATGGTGTGTCCCGGTAAAAGATAAGTTACCTTTATTTTCGTAATAGTAATTGCGGTTTTCAAGAAATGAATTATCATGGATATCATTGCTCGATTCCTATTTTG